CTTAAGTAATGGCTTTGTGCTTCCATGAGAAAAATAAATTTATTTCTGCTGTTTAGATTCTCAGGCTTGCTCGAACGCTGGGAGATTTTCTACTTGTTGGAATTCACAGTGATCAGATTGTCAGGTAGCTCTCTTTGTGATCAGTTAACTTTACATTTTATTAGCCTACATCATGGTTTTGTCTTTGCTTTCCCTGGAATTTACTTTGCTGCATGCAGATTATATTATGTGTTATATACTAATGAAAAAGAAAAAAGAAAGTATTCTGCTTCGAGCACTAGAAAATAGCCTGCCTCTAGTATTATTCTAGGTATATTTATGTTCATGGCATTTATATAAACATTTCTTTGGTGACACTGATGAATTCACTAGGAATATCCCTCTGTGCCTGGGATAAAAAGGAAAAATTTAAGTTGAATGAGACTTGCCTAACAATTCTAAACCAGAAAGAATGATTTTCTGCACCATGTAAGATGTTGAGATAAGAATGAACTAGGAAAAGATGCTAATGATACTTTTATTCTTGATTTATTTTTATCTTTTAGTAGTCAAGATTTGAATGGGAAATGCCTTGTGGGTTATTTTATTAACATTTGCTTGTGAACACTGGTGAATATATTAAATGGGAATGTTGGTTCTCGGTATTGATTTGCAATGCCCATGGTTGTGTTTCCCACTGGCCCTGAGCAGGGACTATGGAAGCTGCATGAAAATTTCAAAACCTGGAAAAAAACAACATTCTGGACTGTAAAAGCAACTGAGATGACTTGGAACGACGATCAAATAAATCTGTTGTGTCAAGAAACAAATAAATCTGTTGTGTCAAGAAACCATTAGTGAGATTCATGTTCTTTATTCAACATTTTTTTGAAAGATCATAGGAACAGAGTGGGTAGTAACACAGATGAAAACAGGATCCACTTTTATGATCATAAATCTAACTCTAGTATTGCTGCTTTCTAACCATGAATTTCAACCAAATTAGTGGTAAAACTAAATCTTAGTCGGAGTAGTAGTAGGATTTGACATATTTGGAAGGAATTCTTAAAGTGCTAGAATTCAACTGGAGCGGATCAATCAGCTCAAAAGTAACTGCCAAATTTTCCACAGCACCCCTCTCTAAATGCATCAGAGTTCTAAGGCTTTAAGGACAACTTTAGTTCTTAAAAAGTGGAGCCCACAAGAAATGAAGAAGCAAGGGAAACTTCCCAACACTACTCTCTCCATATATTTGTCAGATTCACAAGTTATGGAGCAGTTTTCGTTTTTAAGAAGTTGGCCCCATCAATATTCTTCCTAAATTCAATTTTTTTTGGTGTGCTTCACAATTTTATGAAATTCAAGGGTTTTACATTTTTCTATCCAATCCCAGAACAAATCAACTTTATCAACCATGAGAATGAGTGAAAAATCATGTATTGTATAATTCTTCACATATTTATGCTTTGCAAGCAGTATCTAATTTTTCAGTTTCAAAAAGCCAGGGTTTCTTGGCTATTTTTCTAGGTTTTCACATTTCTCACATCTTTTTCATAGGCATTAAACATGTGAGATTCTGATCAGGCACACCATTCACAATGATCATCCAAATGACATTGATTTTTATAGCTTGTAGATATAAAATACACTAGCTTACATCCATGCTTGACTGTGCGAGGAAGGCACCGTGGCATGATATGTGCTTCTCTTATGTGAATGGGCAAAAGTCCAGCTGTAGGCTAGTGCATCTAAAATATACTACAGGCATGTGCTTGGCAAAGGGAAACATTGTAGTTGTAAGGTTTATGCACAACACAGTGACAGGTAAATGGTCACAAACCATATGTTTGCCGATCTAGTGAGCTGACTTTGTCCAGCCACTTCTATCATAATGAACACTATTTTTATTAATCGTCCATTAGATTCCCATTCTCTTCCAATGCTCTTGTACTCCTACTAGTTCATGTCTTACGCAGAAACATGCACAAAATTGGATTATTAAATTTAGTCTATGTTTAGGCCCTGGCCACTTTTGATAAGTCTACATTTGGCTATAGTTCTGACTTTTATTTGAGTCAAGCACTTGCTCTAGAAAGTTGAATTTGGTTTCTCACTGGGATCTACTTTGCAGATATTTAGCATCAAGGAAGAATACAGAGTTTTGTGGAATAAACCTTTGGAAGCTGTATATTCTAAGAATCATATGGTTCTTAGGAATGTAATTGTACATGTTACCATTGAGAGAATTTTGGAAAACCTTGTGCTTCAATGGCTCGTCAAAGCTTCTCTTTAAATGGCTGCATGATTTAAAGTGTAGCTTTAATGGTGCATTGAATAGCAGTGCTATTTTGGATATCATCATATTTATGTATAGCATCTGATGCTGAACTTTTCTCCAGAGTGATACTATAATATTATCGTAATTGATATTAGTTTAATTTCACACTCTCTGCAAGGGAACAATGATGAATTTTACCTTTCTATTCATCATTTTTTAAGCTTCGATTGGTTTAATAATTGAGGGTGTTTTTTTCCTGGACTGGTTCTGCAGTGCTAAAAGAGGGGCACACCGTCCTATTATGAATCTTCATGAAAGAAGCTTAAGTGTGTTGGCATGTCGATATGTGGATGAGGTGATTATAGGTGCTCCATGGGAAATATCCAAAGACATGGTTAGTATGCTATTAAATTTTTTTCTGTCCTTGTTTTTCCATCTGTCCAGTATATAAGTGACCTTTTTTTCTGTTTCCTTCTTCTTTATTAACTGTTGATTATTTTTTCTTGTCATTGCTGACTTTGTCACTGAGCTTTCTAAATCCCAGATGATATACATATTACTGTTATTGGGTTATGACAATAATGCCACAAATACTGGACGTATTTTGTAAATAAGCAGTAACTTTCACGAGTACAATCTTCTTATTGTTGCCTTAGCATAGGCTGGTTTTTTGGTGGTCTGATAGTATGTAGTAGCTGGCTATTTCTCTCCCTGTCTGACTTGATATTTTAAATTCTTAGTGGAACTTGAGCTAGCAAGGACAGAGAGGGAATCCTGACTCTTGTTTTTCCCCTCTTCTTCTTTTCTATAAAGATTTTGAATGGAAGCTCTCTTTCTAATGTGAGTGGAATTCAAACATAGGTGATAAGTGGTGTGACCAACTAAACTAACAGGCATCAATGACTTCTTTGGGGAACCTCTGTGGATTATTTCAGTGCAAATAAGTAAAAGTAAGACAAGGCACTCCTCTCTTCCTCAGGAAGGGGGAAAGGCCATTATGAAGCATTGCCCTGCTTGGTAATGATGTGGACACTTAACATTAAATGTTATATAGCTTGAGCTCATCGTATTTTCTAGTCTTGAACTTTGTTTACTCTGTCATCTTGTCTTTGCTGTCCTGATGGGAGCTGGCCTCAAAACTGTTTTGAATTTGCACAATTAACTCCTAGAAGTTCTCAGATTGTTCAATCATAATTCTTGATGCATCATGCTTAAGAAAGGTGTCGCTCAGGTAGTTGCTAGCAGTGTCAAGAGAGATGTATGAGGCCTGTTATGATTGTCATCCTATATTCGATTCTTTTTTATTATAATTAGTTATTTTTTTAACCCTTTTGATTTCATGTTTAGTCTTTTTATCTGATTTTTCTTGACATAATACAAATTATTGGTGACTGCAGATCACAACCTTCAACATCTCATCAGTTGTTCATGGGACAGTTGCAGAGAACGATGACTTTCAGAAGGTAAATCGTACTTGTATAGCAAGAAGCCTAGTAGCACTGAGTAAACACGTTCACTAGCTAATTGTGACATTGCTGACTTCGCAGGAACAAGACAATCCATACGCTGTTCCAATCAGTATGGGTATCTTTAAAATTTTGGATAGCCCTTTGGATATTACAACTACCACGATAATTAGGAGGATTGTATCAAATCATGAAGCGTATCAGGTTCACCTAAACCCCCCCGCCATACTATTTTCTGTCGACAAATTGTAGATGAGTCTTTTGCATAGGAAGGCATGCTCATAAGACCATTGGTTGATCATTTTGGAGCTATAGGGATTAGATACTTATTTAGTGCACGCTTCTTTTTCTGGTTCAAGCTCACAGAAGTACATCATTTGTATGCAGAAACGTAATCAGAAGAAGGGAGAGAGTGAAAAGAGATATTACGAGGATAAAACTTACGTCGCTGGTGATTGAGTCTACACCAAGCTGCAACCGCATAGCTTGTTGACTGCATGTTTGTTTAGTTAGTAATACCGCTGTAGTGGAGTTACTTGAGTGCTAACATCACACACAACCCCATGAGGTTGTGATTTGTGGTTTAGATGTCATATATTTTTCATTTTTATTTTTATTAATATCAAAATTGAGGAGCTGGATTGTTAAGTTTTTTCAAGAGATCTACTTGGGTATGTATTTATTTGGGGTACTCCCGGTTTCAGACTCGTATAGGTCGATGGATCATATTTATCAAGCTGGGCTCACGTGAATTTGGGCATACACTAAAAGCAATTAATAATAGTTTTTATCTGTAAACATTATTATGCCCTCTTAGGAGCGATGGTGTTTATGCTGCCCTTGTGCTGCACGGACGCCTTGGGACTTCAAAGAATGAAGTTCTTTTCATTTCTCTCTCATGGTTCTTTTGCTAGTCTAGCAGTTGTAAGTTAATAATCTAGCCTTGAAGAGAATTTCTTATGCCAGGAGTTCTTGCCAAATTTGTAAGAGGAATCGAGGGTATGAAAAACATTTTTCTGCACCCATTTTCGGCAGCTAGACTGGTCATCGAATTGACTAGTCAGTTTGGATGATTCTTTCCTTTCTTTTTTCTCTCTCTCGCAAGCGAGCAAAGATTAGAACCCAATTTTAGCCATTCACACACACACACAAGTATGCAAGAAAATCATGATCACTGGATGAAAACAAATCTTAATCTGAAGTTATTGTCCCTAGAAAAGAACATGAAGGTGAAATGCATTAAGAGTGAACCTGTTTTTAATTCATTGTTTTAATTGTTTATATATATATGAAATTACAAGATGGGTTCAATTAATTCATTAAGAACACAAAACAGGAGAAAAAGGCTTGCTGCTGATGCGATCTAATACAATTACAAAGGCCATGATAAGGTGTGAATCGAAACCAGGCTGGACCACCAAGCTAAACACATCATCGCTCAGTAAAATCGTAGTGTTGTTCACTCTCTTCCTGAATATCTTTGCCACTACTTCCCCAGTAGAAGCCTTGACGATCTTGCAATCCCTTGATCTAAACGACCCCTCAATCTTGAAATTTGGCGTGTTTTGATGGTGACGACCTAATTGTGCTCCCATGAAGATCTCTGCAACATGTTTGCGGCCAGCAGAGTGGAAGAGCACTGATGGGCTCCTCATTGAGAATACTCTGGTCTTTTCGCACCCATCTTCTGCTATGTAAGCATTCCACTGATACTGCATGCTTAGCTTCTGTTAACATCAGCAACATTAATTGGATCAGATCAGGAGTTGACATATATAGAAAGTTGAGTTTTAGTTAAAATTCACTGGAATCAATAACTCCTAATCTGTATGTGTATTCGTACCTTGGGTTTCAAGGAAAGCAAGGCATTGCCAACTCCGTCCATGAGTACAAGACCATGACCATTCTTCCTGGAATAATTATCAACTCTGAAAACTAATGTTCCGTGCGGATCAAAAACGGTGAATCCGTCTGTACCCTGGAAGCTCATGCTGGATCTCTTCCATACAGTGAGCACAGACGGAGGTGGTAATAACGGATGATGTTCATCATGATCATGAAGTGGCCGCCTGCTGTCGTTGTGATCTTTCAACAACGAATGGCCGTGGCATCTACTCTGATCAGAAGGATGAATCCTGGACATGGTGTGATCTGTTCTAAATTGATTAGACTTAGAGAATATACAGTATTTGATAACTAAGGATTGCAGAAGGTGAAGAGACCAATGCAATATTATGCAAATATGAAGTTATTGCGCATATGGGAATTGTCCTCGGTTTTATAATGGAACTTGGGGGCAACAAGAAGGAGGTGGAAATTAAACAAAAGACCTTCGCCTCGGATGGACGTCCACCTCAGTGGCTTACACAACAACTTTCTTCGGAGGGTCCATACCTTTATGTAAAAAATGTATATGCTACTACATATATTTTCCATGGCTGACTTAGTTTTTGATCCCCCATTCGTCTCTTAATTTATTACCATAAAGTAATTAATTGATGAACAGTCCTCATGTGGTGTAGAAACTGTAGATGAAGACGAAAATGATGAAAGCCAACATTTATGTTGAAAAGGATTCTAGCTATGGCTATCATTGATCTCTTTCTCATGTTAGGGCAACCTCTCCCCTTCATGATTGAAGTGGTTGCCTTCCTGCCTGCCTAGCTCCTGATCCTTTATTAATTAGTTTCCAAGGTCGAAAATGTCGACTTGACATGCATAATCATGCTGTTCTGGGACTGTTACAGTGCCGTGAGGTGCATTTAACCGAAATAATCATTTCTCTTTTTCCCACAGTACCGTGCAGGGAGGGCATCATAAGCAATATCTGCTGATATTAATCTTCATCTATCCTACGTGGGGCAGAAACTAGCTATAATGGTTTTCTACATTTCATAATTAATTAAGCTGGCTTGCTGCTCTAAGTCCATGCATGGTTCAGGTGGCGACCCATTACTTCGTCGTTATAATGAAAATATTGCCCTCCCTCGTCACAGAAATATGTGAATATCTATCAACTTGTAATTGTCCGATTGATCTAGAGTCCTAGGAAGGTCACTAGCTAGCTATACACACACACACACAAAAAAAAAAAAATACTAGCTAGCTATGCACACACACAAAAAAAAAAAGATTCGTGGGTTTTGTTTTAGTCGGAAGTCGGAACCACTGTGTTAATTTCTCTGTCTTGTTGCCGTCTGTCCTGATTCATAGAATCCAGGATTTTGACGGTACTGGTTTCGATGATATTAGCCACATGAAAACAAGTTCGAATGAGAACAAAGGAGGATTGGAATAATAACAGACGTGTGTTCCTCGATTGAAGGATGGTTCAATCGTACATATATTAACAATTTGAATACTGGTATTAGTGCTAGTAAAGTATTGTTTTTACACTTAATTAGTCAAGCAACTTGGTTTAGTGCCACATGTTGAGTCACGGAAGCACTAATTAAGTGATTGGTTGTGGGATCACATTCTCACCGTATAATTGTCATCTTCTTGCTGTTGTTTAATATTACAGAACTGATTGTTCTTTAAAGTATTTATTATTTAAAATAATTTTATAAAATTTATTATTAATATTAACACATTAAAAGATATGAAAATACTAAAAACTATTGATTTAAAGCAAAATAATTAAAAAAAAACTTCTATTTTTTAAATATTTTTGAAACATAAAAATAAAAAAGCTTTGAATAAAAATAAATTAAGTGAATAGGAAGTAGATTAGGTGTAAGTGAATGGAAACAGAAATCTCTCGAGACAAGAGAATGTTTCTGAAAATATAAAAATCTCTCTGTCGCAAGAATTTATTTGGCAATGAAAAACAAGATGCAATTAAATATTTTAAAAATAAATAACTAATTAATTAGTAGTTGGTAATTGCATGCATCCGGTTAATCCAAACTTGGGGCGGCTGCTTTAATGTATACTCTGATTCCTGAGCAGTTTCCGATGTTCCCAGCAAGATCATAGATTAGAGGTGTGTTGAAGCATCCAGTTGAAAGAGAAGAAGAAGAAGAAGAAGATCAAATTAAGTTAATCTGATCATCAGATCGAGCTGGTGACGTTCCTAATTCAGGAAGAGAAAGCAACTTTTTTGGTTGAACATATCAATTTCATGATTAAAAATGGCGAAAGAGATCGTCCAGGGCAGAAACAAAACGATGATGATTAGTTCCTTGAAGGGAATTATTTATTACTTCTTGATTGTAAATATTTAAGTAAAACGAACCGTTTCTTGAATATTCTTGTTACAGAAAATAAGAAATAAAACTGAACCGAGTAAATTAGAATATGTGTATTATTTATTTAAATCAGCTATAAAATGAGAAAAGTCTATCTATTTCTTATAATTATGATTTAAAATAACTATAAAGGGTTGGAGATAAGGTGGTGTATAGTACTTTTTTTAAATGTTATTTTTAAATATATTATAATAATTTTTTTCAGTTTTTTATATTATCATATCAAAACTATAAAAAAATACTGGAAAATAATTAATTTGATATTTTTCAAGCAAAACTTATTTTTAAAATATATTAAAATACAAAAGATATCAAACTCATAAACACTATAAAAACTTAGATTTAAGATATCTTTAAATCCTACCTTTGATGAATTTTAATTTCAAACCCTTATAAATCGTGGGATGTGTGGCTTCTTACTAAAAAGACAATACATAAATAAATAAATAAAATAAAATAAAATAATCCCTAATTTTGATAATAAATCTTTAATCATTGGAAATTATAATAAGCACATTTCACTCACTCTCTTGTAAATCTATAATAAGAAAATTTAAGTGAAAATTAAAATGTCATATATTAATTATGTGAAGAATAAAATTATAAATTATAATGTTACATGAAGGGAGATGAAGTCATTTAAAAATATAATAATTATTATTTTTTAAATATTTTTATTTAAACAAATATTAAAATAATATATTTTAATTTTTTAAATTATTTTTAATATTAACATATCAAAATAATAATAAAATATTAAAAAAATTAATGTTAAATACAAAAGTTTTTTTATAAAATATCACAGATTAATTTAAATAATGCTATAGTTTGTTTTTACATTTCAAAAATATTTTTGAAAAAAATTAATTTTTTATTTTTATTTTAAATTAATATTTTTTAGTATTTTCAAATTATTTTAATACATTAATATTAAAAATATTTTTTTAAAATAAAAATTATTATTTTAATATATTTTAAATAAAAAATAATTACAACAATAATTCCAAAACTAAAAATTACAAGGGCTGCCCCTCTGAAAGTGGGATGTGACGTTATATATATATATTTGACTGCTATGATGGCATTTCTCGATGTCGTTGTCTCTTGAAAAAAAAAAAAAAAAAAAAAAAAGGGAGCCCCTTGAAA